TGTCTTCAGTATTTCTTTGTTAATTTCCACATGTTTTTCATTTTATTGTCACCAGTTATTGAGAAGGCAAGTCAAATACAAGTTTAGACTATAAATTCAGTTATTGAAACGTTTTTCAGATTCAGTCTTAGTTTTACCATTTTCACCAGTTTCAACAGGTGATCATCACATTACATTAGTAATTGTTGACTAAAAACAGATAAATATAGGAGTTACACAAATAAAATGAAGGTACAGTAAATACAGTATATACATATAAACATGTATATAGAGTCATTCCTGTGGTTGTATGCAGCCTGTGCCAGGCCACTAAAGCAGCGGTGTAACCCTGTGAGGTGTGCAGCTCCTGACTGAGGAGGACTTTACTGCTGCCTCCTCTATTCATAGGGAAATACAAGGCTTATGAAAAAGCAGTGCTAGTGGAGCTTCGATTGACAAATGCACTCACACACATATACCCAAACACATATACACAGGTAAGCTTAATACTAAACACCTTTTTATGTTTGCATGTACCCACATGTTGTATATTGTAATTTCAGTGTATTTTTGTGTGGCCGCAACACAGGAACTTTTTTTTTTCTCAACATTAGTTACCACTGCTTCATTTCTAGTTACGTTGGTTAGGGTTAGGTTTAATAGCATACACCCTGTGCCTTTTATACTGTACTTTATAATGAGGACAAACCCCCAGTAGCTACCAAATCAGAATAATAATAACAATGTAAGTTAATCTTTCTACAATTACACCATAATTGTTGAATGTTGGAGGGTGAGCATTTTCCTGTGCCGCTTTCCAAAATGTATTGTATGCTCTGACTCTACTGTCACCAGCACTGGTGTTTGTCTTAAATAGGCCAGGTGCTCTATGTAGGATCCTTGTGTTAGTAAGATCAGCTTACTGTTTGGCCAAAGGGTATGGCACCGCACAGAGCCACCAGCCTGAGATGGGGAGTGGTAATGATTAGCATATAGTCTGTGCACGCGCACACACACACACGCAGACAAAAGACAGCACTAAGAGGGGTTCAGGGAGAAGTTTCCTTTGTGCTGCGATCATAAAAAAATGGCCGTTAATCCTCCGCCTATTTACCTGTCACCACTCCGTCTACAGCCAAAAGAACTCTCTGCTCTCCTTCTCTGCAGCTCATTGATGGCTTTTTTCCAGAGTGGACAAGTGCTTATTAAGAATCAGAATGGGGGGAAAAAAAATCCTACAGCTGGTTAAAGTGGGAAATGGTATTTTAGGATAAATTGAAATGCTGCAGCTGAATAGGTCTGTGCTGACAATCTTGTTGTTTTTTTCCCAGACCCATAACTCAAAAGCCAAAAGCCATATGCTGCTGTGCTCTGCTGTACTTCCAGCTTGTTGTTTAACTCTTCTAATCAGCCTGCACATATTCATTTGTTTCACTATTGGAAAAAAGCCTTTCATTCATTACAGACAGGATACTTGGAGACAGGTGTTTACAGGATCTCATACAGCAGCTGATTTTGTCTCTGATTATATTTAGATTGGCACCACAACGTGTTTGTTTCATCTGATCTCATCTTTCATTTGGGAGACACATGATGATTTTATCAATTGTAGCTTAAATTTCATTTTGAAACTTTCCTCTGCAGATTCTATTGGCTCGTCTGTCAAAACACACACAAACTTGAAGTCAAATTAGTCCCATTCGATCATATAGATTGCTCATCAGACAAACACGGATGATTTATGTACCCATTTAATTTCAATGTTGATTCAAATAAAAGCGAGTGTTTCATTTGTAGAATTTTCACACATTCCACTGCTTATTAGAAACAGATTTCTTTCCACGTTTTATTGACAGTTTAACAGTATGTGTAAGTTCGTAGCTATGCAATATATCCCCAGAGGGCATTCTGTATGGACTGTTAATCTCCATTCTTTGTCATGCTCTTTAGGATCACATCTGTACCTGGCCGTGTGGTCTTCCCATATCTCACACAGTCAGAGGGACCATTAGCAAATAACTCTTATCAACCTGTTATTCCCAGGAAACTGTCCTATCTCAAAACAAGGGGCCCAGAAAACCCAAACACACAGTCGAGCTCCTGCAGGTGTGTTTGTCTACATGTGAGCTAGCGATGAGATGAAAGTTAGGTGTCCGTATTTCAATTATTAGAATGTTGTGGACTTGCTGATGTCTATTCTGTGTTCATCTTTCTCCACGTGTTTGTGCTCCTTCTTTGCCTGATGACAGGTTAACGACTAGCTGTTCAATGCCTGCTGATTTACAGTAATGGCAGTGAAATCATAGAGTGATAGAGTGTAGACTTGAGAAAAGCTGTTGTTTTTGACTTCTCTTGCAAAGGCACATATGCTCACGCTAAGTCTACTGCATGTCTTTCACATAATCCGTAACAGAGGACATATGAGCATGACCGCAGTTTTTTTTTCTTTCTATACAGCTGTGACTTTAAAATAAAAGTCTTACTTTCCTCCCCCAGAATTAATGGGTAGGTTTTGGTGGGGTCACACTCTTGTCACAATTTCCTCCTGTCTAATTTCCCTCCTTCCCTCCTTCCACCTTGAGCAGACGACATAAATCAGGTCCATGAACGGCGTTTATTGTACTTAGTAACGGTAGTTATTCTCACGCTCTGTAACACCGCCAGGGCTCCTGACCAATAAATGTCAGTGGTTGGGTTTCTCAAGTGTAAGGAACACAGTTCTGTGAAGGTAGTTTGTGTGGAGGTATTTGTCACCTCAGAGAAAAGGTCTCATATTGAAGCTATCATCATTAGGGCTCGTTTGGCGGTAGCTCAGCTTTACACATTTACATCCTTCAGTTGGCTGCCATCTTGACAGAGGATAAGGGTTTACAGGTACAGTCCAACGTGATGCCTCACCAGGATGTATTTCTAGGGGTTTCCCACTTTATTTATTTTTTTTACCTCCTGACATGCCACTCTGTCTCTATGTCACGCACCTTTTCCTCAAATAGCATGAAAAGCCTTGGTTTAAAAATAAAGCTGTTCTAATTGATTGTCTTCACAGATGTTTTCCAACATGCACTATTCAATATGGTCTCCTTAACATCTTCATAATTGTTGAACTTCCATAATGCACTTCCCTAAGAGTCACACACTAGTATGGTTTATTCCTTTGAAACAGTTTTACAATACAAGGTACAAGATTGTTTATTAGTCATTATACAGCACAAGGCTGCATAATGAAATGAAATTTATAATTCCTTCGTGATACACACACAACATATAATTAAGTCTAGGCCTATATTAAAATATAGTAACATATAAAATAAAACAATACAGTTATGCATAAATATACACCCCTAACATTCCACAGTGCATTTTTTGAATTTGCATCTGGGGTGAACGTAAACAGCAGAGACCAGATGATGATATGACAGTCTCATCTTCACAATAAACAGTCTGACATTTGAGAAACAGAGTCCGTCTCTTCATCTTCCAATGACTGTCTTTATGTCAGAGGTAACGCATGTTTTGGCAGTACAGCAGGAAAAAAAACGGATAAAAAAACAAGTGTAGCGTAGTTTGAAGGAGCTGCTGGCTGCTGCTGCTTCTACAAGTGCTGGCGGTTGCCATAGCAGTGCTCTTCAGCTCATGTTATTGGCTGTTGTACTTTGTGGTTATGTTTTGAGCAGCACAGTGGTCCATTTTGCAGCTTGGTTTCCTTCAGAATCCCACAAAGCCTGCCATCTGCTGCCAGAGGGACCTGGCTGTACATTGTCTCAGACAAGATATAGTGAGCTCCCTGACTAATTTATGTTGGATCATAATTTTTCAGAATTACCAGCAAATGGAATGGCCTTGTAGCATCAAAAAGCCACACCACATTTTGGATCCTTCACCCACCACTCACACATGTGTGCGCTGGAAGATAATGTATCGCCACACACACCAGCCAGAATGCTGCATGTACTCTGCCATGGTGTTTGTTGTAGTTTGTCTGTCCATACCGTGATCCAAACTGGAACAGGTTAGAGGGATAAAAGGATGTGAAGATGGATGGATAGAACAGATAGGACAGAGCTGGGCATTACATGAAAGCAAGAGTGCAGTACAGGTCTGCGCAGTCGGTGTTAAAATATGTTTTTCATGTCATCGCTCACAACAGAGGGATGGCCTGTCTGATCTCTGTCTCACACTATCGGTCTTCCTAGCTAATCTGATGGAGATACTTCTGAGTAACTTTATTTTCTCCCTACTTCAGTGTTTCGTGCTCAGCATGGGTCTGAGTGGAGGTATGTGATGAAAAGCAGGTTGTGTGATCAATCTGATCAAACATGATTTGATTTGATGACTCGCAGCTCTCTGACACTCCATAGATATTGTGGAGGATTTTTTAAGGGTAGTTTATCAAGAAGTAGAACTGGAATTGCAATTGATCTCAATTTGAAAAAGGAAAAATCATCAAGCAATGTGCCGTTTGGACTTCTTATGCATCCTTCTGCTGGGCCTCGCTTGTTACGCACAAATTCAGAGCACGTGTTTACATTAGTAGACCAGAGTTGGTGCTTTAAATGAAAACATCACATACCACAGAAATGGTAAAGGTCTGCTTCATCTTTGAGTCCTATCTGCAATATTTCTAAATGATCCACTGACACATCTTCTCTAGGGAAGTGTTAACAGGAAGTGTTTTGGTAGCATTAAAGGTACAATAATGTAAGATTTGGCCACAATGTTAAAAAAAAAATCAAAACTGAACTAACATGATCAGCAGAATGTGAAGAAGTAACATTTCTGACGTCATGTCAAAGACGTCTATGCAATGTGCTGCATAGATTTCTACTGAAGTTAGCATGCTAACCAGCTAGCCATGGCCCGTCCTGTTTTGCAATACCATTTGTGCCTCGAGAGGCAATAGTCTGATAGCGTAGGTCAGGTCTCCACCAGTAGTTCCAGCTGGGAGATGTGTGCGAGTGCCAAGTTTGCTCGTTACACAAGCTCTCTTAACTTCTTCAGTCTAATAAACAAAATAAGTTTCTTACACCTACCTTCTAGTTTACTATTTCCTTTTTATCTCGTCATAAAACACACTTCAACTTGACCGAAACAAAATAAAACCCACCAAAACCGTCTTTGTTAGTCTTTCCACTGTTTCCAATCACCGACTGTGGTTTGGTAGCTTTTATTGATTTCATTACACTTCTGGGCACAAAAAAATGAGAAAACCGAGGGATTGCTACCTGTAGTAGTGTTGTCTGATTGTTAATGGAGATCATTGGGTGCTTGGCCGAGATATGTTATGGGACAAAGTGAAGAATCACAGAATATCTTGCATTCATGAGTGTTTAGTGTTTTTTGCTGTCAACACACCTTTGGTTTCTCTTCTTAATCTATGCCAAGAATAAAAATGAGGAATCAGTCAATCAAGCACAGTTATTACTAAACAGAATCAGAATTGGATTAAATTACATTACTCCACTGATGTAGCATTGCGCCTCTAGAACATTGTCGGACTCACTATGGATCGTGAAAAAAGAAAAGAAAGAAGATGCTCAAAATCAAAGCAGCAGAATTATTCCACACATTCTTTTTTCCTCGTTGATCATGGTCAAAGGAAAGTTTCTGTTACATGTAACAGACAATTCATTTATCATATCTAAAACTCAGTGATTATATTACCCACATTGCAACTAGATCATGGAAATTTTGGTCAGAGTCTTGGATTGGTTTTGCCAGTCTAGCCTCGAGCTGTTAGAGATGAGGAGCAGGCTACAGAGGTCCCAATTTTTTTTTATTAGACTACCTCTAAAATCGCTTCATGTACCCATGATGTTCTTGTCCTCACCAACTTCCTCCTGTTCTGCCTGGGGGGCCCTCTCTGTTAAGCCTGAGCACTATGCTGTCCTCAGTGCATTTTAAATGGAGGCACCTGAGATGTTCCTTATCACTAACTTATTTGACCAAGACACCCCTCTTGGTTCATGGGAGACCTTGGGGAGAAACGTCATTACGTAATGTTTATACTCAAAGTCTGAGCATAAAACCTGTGTGATTTTTGGCATGAAGAGCTTTGCGTTTTGTGCTCTGCTCCGACGTCGCCACCACTTTTCTCTTAATTAGGACAGCAATCCAGGTGTTTTATACAGTTGTTTTATGCCCTTGATTTAGCTTCAAAGATAGAACGAACCCTGTTTATTCTGGAGTGTGGGGGAGAAATGCTGTACAGAGATATGTAGCAAACATGTAGTTTGGTTATTCTATACCTATTTACTTACAGTGCGGATCATGTGTTCTCATTGCTGTAGAACAGAACCCATTAGACATTTCAAAATTAAATTAATAATAATAAAATAATAATGATAATGAAATCTTGAAACCATTTTTAAGATATGTTTTTTTGTGTTCTTGTGCATTAAATTGTCAAACCTCTTGTTTATTAATATCATGTGGACCCATAAGCCATCTTTCTGTTGCATTTGACTGCCACCCCACTCTATGTAATGCTGTATGAACACAGATCAGAGCAATGTTCTGCTAAATTATACGTTCTTTCTTATTGTGAGTTTGCAAATTACACAACTTCCACAAGGTGTATCATCACGGCTCCTTATCTGTCTGATTGTTTTTATTTGCCCAGCTCTGCATTTAAAGAGTCTGACAAATCCTGTAATTTGCATACGCATGTTGTTTGGTTTTATGTGGTGTCAAAAGGAAATGGTTTTGGTCTAATAAAAAGCGCTGTTTGATCTTGCTTAGGTGGATGAAAGCCAACCAAACACCAGGCCACCTGGCTGTAGCAGAACAGAGCTTGCACCTGATAATTTTCTTTTCTTTTTTCTGTCTGTCTCTTTCAGAGGAAGCATTCTCAGCTCAGCACCAGAGTCTCAAGGAGGAGAAAGAATCTTTAACCAAGCTGCAGAAGGAATGCACTGCCAAGAGGTATGTGTGAACCTGTAATTAGCTATTGCTTTATTTCTGCATAGAAAAAAAAATCATGTATTCCAGTCAGCTAGACATTAGCCAGAGCCCACTGAATGATGTGACCCAATGTGAATTGTGATGAGACTACACCCTGCTCCTGCCTCCCACCTTGCTCTTTCAAAATAAGGGGATGTTTATGCGGCTGGTTCTGCCTATTTCTGTGTTCTCAACAGAGAGTTTGTACATTTGTTGTACAGTGTGTGCTAAAAGTCTATTGCCCTGTGTTTGCCTTGGCCTGCGGGGAGACATGTGCGGCGGGTGCCGACCCTGGATACAGCTTTGTTTGTCTGAGAACTACCTGGCAGTCACAGAGGGTAAACCAGATCCCCAGGAAGGCCAGCAGGGGCCAAGAGCAGCAAACAGGAAATTAACACAGACACTTGTAGATCTGCCTAACTTCCAGTCTTTGGAAATATCTGTGTCGTTTCTGTTTTTTCATGGAAATGTCTCTTTTTATTTAATATCTTTTTTAACTTTTAGCTAGGGAAAGGTTTTGCTGAACATGGACACTTTTTCACGTGCTTTGGCCAGGACACCCACTCTGGGTTGTGCCTGGGTCCAGAGCACGCCGGCCTGGCTCTCACTCCACAGGCATCATGCCCGTACTGTGCTCGCCTTCCTCTGGCCGAGAAGCAGCAGAGAGAGCCCACACTTGCTGCTGCGGCCAAGGATGTGTGGCCAGTACTGGATTAGCACGTCTCTACACCCTCCATCTACGAGTTGCCTATTGCTTCCCTCCTCCCAGCGGAGGAGCTGGAGCCTGTCTGCAGCTTGCTGCGGGCATTCCCGGTCCCCCTCTCTACTTTTACTTCTCTGCTGGCGATAGACGGTCTGCTCCGTGACCTTCCGGAGATCATCAAGACAGCAGCCACCTAAGAATCTCCTCGTTCCACTGGCACAAGAGGCTGCCCACTCGAAGGAGATGCCTGGCAATTCGCCCTTGGCTCAACTGACCAAGCAGGATCCTGTGTAGTCACGTTTTTCTTGCCATTACCCAACTTGCTGCTCCTTCGGGCAGCACTCCTCCATGACCAGCGAGACTCTCATCAACGGTAGACATGCCCCACGGCAGCTGCTGGCCAGGGCCGCGTCCTTCACTCCCGTTTTTACCGTGCCTCCGCCTCTGTTGACTCAGCCACAGCTGTCATACACACATCCCCCACGCTGTGTGAGCTGGCTGCCATTAGCTTTTTGGCTAACAAGCAACTTAGACTCACGGAAATAAGCAGCCCACTCCCCCTGCCACACATTCAGAGGTCTCCCTTTTCTGTGTGTTTAATAAGCCCACGAGCGCCTGTTCTATGCCTCGTGTGGACAGTGCACGCACATCCCCGGCTGTGTTCAGTGTTTCCTCTCTTCACTCTTTGTGTCAGTGTCCCATTTACGAGCCCTGTCCGCCTAAACGGTGACCTATTGATGCTACTTTCCTCACACATGCAACGGCAGCGAGGGCACTGGTCTGGCTTGTCTCTGTGAACATGTTCACCTGCTTTCAGAGCATGCTGGAAGACAGCTGGATGAGCAGACTCATCAGCAGAGGCTGCACACAGTTCAACGGGGTACTGGAAACAAACCTGACATCCCGGGAACATCCCGGGAAATTGGAGACTGGCTAGGACTCCCATTGGAGAGCAAGCCTGTCTCCAATTTCCAGAGTTCCTCAGGGGGAGGAAGATCAAGGTTTTTACTCTTGTTATATTCTGCTTCTGAAAAAAATTGGAAGGATGAGACCTGTCCTCTATCTTTCACCGTTCAAAAAATCAATAACGAACGGACCGTTTCACATACTAACAATCAGGCAGGTGCTGTAATGTGTTTCCCGGGGAGACTGGTTCACAGCCATAGACCTGAAAGGTGTGTACTTCCACGTCTCCATCATCCCAAAACAAAGCAAATTCCCACATTTCTCATTCCATTCGGTTACTCCCTGGCTCCAAGTACTTTCTCCAGATGTGTGGAGACAGCTCTGGAGCCGTTATGCTGGATAGGGATGAGAGTGTTGTTTTACCTGGACGACCTGCATTTGCTGGCTCGCTCGGGGGGGGGGGGCGAGCCGTGTTACAGAAAGCGAAACTGGTGATGCATCTGTCAAGCAATAAAGTGGAAAAAGAGTTCTCCTCTCCCCTCCCAGAATGTAATTCATCTGAGTGAAATTGAACTCCATCATGAGAGCGCACCTCTCACAGGACAGAGGGAAAGCTTTGACAATTCTGCATCTGCTCTAAACTTCTCATATGGTTTCATTTGAGTCCATGAGGGGAAGGTCGAATTATCCAATATTTCATAAAAAAAAAAAAAAAAAACAAGATTGGAGAAAAGTCAGAAAAAAACAATTTTTTTTTTTTGGAATTTCATAGTACATAAAGTAGTTAAGAGTAGCTCTACGTCCACCAGCAGTGAAAAGCTTCACTTACTTACTTTCACTTGTGATACTTTAATATGCTGCCCAAAACGTTGAGCTATTCCTTTAAGTACATTTACCTGACAATACTTATGTACTTTGTGTTAAGATGGATTTTGAACACATTTGGATTGTTGTATTGTTTACATAAGTACAGAATCAGATTATATCTTCCACCGTTGTTGGTCACCTGCCAGGATGTGTGTTTCCTTACTTATGCCAGCCAAATGTAGATTAACACAAGGTATTTTGTTTGTGAGTATACATTAAGATGTGCAGTGGGAAACATGAGTTTGCATGTTTTACAAAAGGGGTTTGTAAAGGACTTGCACCTTGGGCTTGACTAACAAGGCAAAGCCTGCTGGACAGATGGGTGATTTCAGATCAAATGATCATTACACACCAATCTGTCTCGTCTTTCACATGTACAAAGCAGCCGCACACTGTGAAGGGAAATGATAAGAGACTGCTAACCACAGGCAAAGCCAAATAGGAAATTCAAGTGAAAGGCGAGAAGCATAGATTGGAGGGTGCATCACATTCAATAACCATTTCCCCCCCAAAATCCCTTTTCATCTGCATGAAATTATGTTGAAATTATTACCCACAGTGCTCCACAACTGGTAGTGTAAATATTGTACAGACACCCAAAGAGTCACTTGCGCGCACACACGCACGCACACACGCACGCACACACGCACCGTTCATACAAAGCATTCGATCGTGTTACTCAGACATAAGCAGTCCCAGGAAATACCGTGTAAATCCTGGAATAGACTCTTCTAAATTCAAGGCTATTTTTTGCTGAAGGGATGTAATAGATGTTTTACATTTTGAATAGGTTTCACACACACAGTGGGCCAGTCTTCTCCTTAGACCAACATTAACCTGCTATCGGACATCATTATACTTCTCCTCTCTGTTTGTCATAATTATTTTCTGTGTTCCCTGACTTTAATTACCATTATGCTTTACAGTGTGGAGCAGTAACTAGCCTGGACCTTTTCTGCTGCTCATGCCCAATTCCTCCTATCTCTTCAGGCTTCACTCCTTCCCTTAAGATCTCATCTCTGCTCCTAATCCCTCCTTTGCCTTACTACTCCCTATGTCCTCCACTCTTAACTGCTGCTTTTGTCTCCTTATAATAATAATAATAATAATAATAATAATAATAATAATAATAATAATAATCTTTATTTGTAGAGCACTTTTCAAAAACAAGTTACAAAGTGCTTTAACAAGTGTAAAGACAATAATACCAAAAAGACAATAATACAAAAACAATACAAGATAAAAGCATGAAAACATTGAAAAGACTAAAATACACGTTTAAGATATAATATAAATAATATAAAATTAGTAAAATAAAAGGGATAAAATAAAGTCAAATAAGATCGGGAAAGGCTCTCCTATAAAAGTATGTTTTAAGAAGGGACTTAAAAGAGTTCACTGACTCAGCTGACCTGATTTCTTTGGGCAGGCTGTTCCAGAGCCTCGGGGCCCTGACAGCAAACGCTCTGTCCCCTTTAGTTTTCAGTCGAGGTGGTACCAGGACTGAGCACATACCTTCATCAGCAGACATTAAAAGGTCATTGGTGACTTTAAGCAGGGCAGTCTCAGTGCTGTGGTACTTCCTGAAACCAGATTGAAACTTTTCAAATATTTTGTTATTTTCCAGCACAGTGAGCAGCTGTTTGGACACAATTCTTTCTAGAATCTTTGCAATAAAAGGCAGTTTTGAAATTGGTCTAAAATTATGTGGGAGGGAGGGATCTAAACCAGGTTTCTTTAAAAGTGGGTTCACGCAAGCCGTTTTAAAATAATCAGGGACACAACCAGTAGATAGGGAGCTGTTGGGGCCCAACAGAATCTATTACTTTCAGTAAAAACTTTGTAGGTATTACATCAAGTGGGCTGGAGGGCACTCTCATTTGTGATACTGTTTTTAAAAGCTCAGACAAGTCGATATGATAAAACTGGTTAAAACTCTCTTGTTGCTGGTGAGGAGTTATGCCAGCCGGGATCCTCATTGTATTGTCCTTGTGTCTGGTTTTGTCTCCCCAGAGAGCAGTTCCTGAAGTCCAATGCCCAGCTCACCTTCCGCTGTCGTCAGCTCCTCTCTGAGCTTTCCTACATCTACCCCATTGATACGGTGAGTTGGACCTGATGGTACATTGCTGCACAACACATTGTTGAAAAAAAGAATTATCTGGTTATAAACCAGGAGTTTGTTTTTTATTCCAAAGTTCTGATCATCCAAAGTCATTACCTTTCTGTTTAACATGCGTCTCTGATGTATATTCACTCTGTTTTACAAAACATTTGGCATATAAGCTAAATACTTTAAATGGTGGCACCAAGAGACAGTGAAAGAATAATTTAAAGCAAATGGATCGGCTAGTGGCAAAGCTGGTGTTTTGTCCCACACGGTGTTTCATCCTGTTTGAGTCTGGTTCTCCTGTCTAATCATTTTCTTTGAAATGAAACCTCTTATTTAAATCCACAGGCTAATCAGTCAGATTATGTCATCTGCGGAGTGAAGCTGCCAAACTCTGAAGACTTTCAAGGTAATTTATTATGTGCCCGCTTGTGTGTTTCAGGGTTATAGGAGGATAAGCTCTGATGAGGCATGCTGAACAAATGTTTTGCTCCAGCTTTTAATCCATGTGGTTTTATGTAGGTGTTTGGTGAAGCGAAGCAATTTAATATTTCACCATTTTAAAGGCAGATGATCTCATTCAAAAGGTATCTATGATATCATAAGTTTGGCTACCGGAGATAGCAATTTAACATTACTGTGCTAAGGTATTACAGTCTTTAACGGGCATAAATGACATAACGTTATAATTACCGGTGTTTCATTTTAATGCATAAAAGACATAATGACATAATTGTATCATCAATAGGGACTCAATAGTTTTATTAGCTGGGAGAGGTTGACATTCCTTTATACAATCAAAATCACGGTGTACACACACATAATGACATGTCTTGCCTCAGATACTGTGTGTGAGATACGCTGGCAATGATTGAGCACCATAGTAATCACTTTCCTGTAGCGAAGACAGTTTTCGAGTACAAATGAACAGACACGCACATGCAAACCCTCCTCTGTGTATTTTCACTTATTTTATTAATATTTTTCTTTTATGCTCCTCCTGACGTTCTTTAATTTGCATCACATAATTTCTTATATGTGCAGTAAAAAGATTCAGAATTAATAAATAATTTTTTTTAGCAAGACTTTCTGTAATTCATAGTGCCAACAAGGTAGCTAAAAAACTAAAAGCTAAAACACAAAGGAAGGTCAGAAGGAAGGAAGAATTTGGATTCTTGGAGTCTTTAAGTAAGGAAAAAGTTTGGAGTTTGGAGCCAGGCATGAGGGCCGAGCTGAGAGGGCAGATAAATTAGGTGCTCAATTGGTTTGCATTCTTCTGTTGTTTCTACACTTTGCCTTTCTGATTTCTTGTTGACTGCTGATGGAGGAGTTGTTCAGCACCACCACAGTCTTTGGATGGTTTTGCCACCCCAGTGAGATGCAGAAACCACATGGTTTGATATAAGACACAATACAAGAACTCTGAAAAAAAGTTTCGTCAGCAGGCAGATTTGGCCCCATACACACTACTGTGTTTTCGTTTTAAAACGACCTTTTGCTACGTTTGCACCTCACGTCCAGACTAAAACAGCGAAAACTGCTGTCTACACCGTACCGGCATGCCCAGTGCATGTGCATGCTGGTACGTTAAAGGCTACTAGATGTGCGTTATAAGTCATTTTAATATAGAAGGAGATCAGCTCTGATACGCAGCTAAAACACTGGTGTGGACGGAGATCGTATTCGTTTTAAAACTGTTTTTAAACAAAAAAGGAGTAGTGTGGCTGGGGCCTAGCACAAAGCCCTTGTTATCATGTTTGTGTCGTAGGTTAGAGTAAAGGTCACGCTGTATGTGTCATGATAGATGGGATTTGCTGTCACAGCGAGGGAAACTTGATGACTTCATGACCTCTCAATAGCACAGATGAATTGGGGGGCGGATTGAATGGGTAATGTATAGTTAGCTTTGGTGTGCAGCACTAATACTGAGAACACACTGGCCACTGTCCACTCAACATTCTCCAGCTCCCTTTCCTCACAGCTGGTGAGACCCAGCAGGCCTCTAACCCATAATTCAAAAATACCACTCCCAATCTCCTCTGCTCCCTGCTGTCGCACTCCACCTGTTAACATCTTTTAAGAGCACAGCGAAGTGAACAGCAGTGACAGCCAGCCCATTTGTGTTTGCAGCAATCACTTATTCCCATAAGGTGGAGGCCTGTGTGTGCTTCCTCCCAACCCTGCAAAGGGGGACACCTAGCAGTGTGTAAACAATGAGGCATGTGCTGTGGCAGAAGATTAAAGGCCTAACAGAGAACATTTTCAATTATTTACTGCTAACTACCTTTTCCCGTGTGCCCTCCCTCCTGGTCAGGTGGCTTGTGGTTTGTGAAATGTAGAGAAGATCTGTCATGCAGCCCAGGTAGTCATTAATATATTAGCTCTAACATAGACATCTTGCCAAAGCCGGTACAGCATGTAGAGACCGTAGAAACAAAGGATTGAGAAGCATGTGTTTTAACCCACAATTTTCCCCCTTTGCTGACATTTGCTCTCATTTGTGTGAGGTCTGCCCCGAAGAAAAGCCGAATGCGTCCAGAACTGTTTGGATGGGTGTCGAAGTCAAAGTTAAAAATGCCTGCAGGGGAGGATGTTCCACATTAGAGACCAGGGCCAGGGTTAGTTCATAATCCTACTGGGGGTCAAAGTGGAACAGGGTGGAACTCTGCTGAGGCCCCTCAATCTCTTACATTTAACTAAGCTTTCCTTGTCAGCTCAGCCTGACAAGATATCAGCAGTCTCAACTTGCACCCCAAGGTGTCGCTTATAGTTGCATGTCTTTTAGCTGACCTGATATTGACCTGTTGGTGTGTAACTTCATCCAAAAGCACCAGAGGCCAGGAAGTGGTTTAGTCCAGGTGCTTTTGTTGCTATGGACTGAAAAATGCAGGAAGAATAATGATATTAAGCAGGCTTTCTGTGTTCAGTTGAAAAAAACACAGTATGCGCCAAGGAGTCCACCACTCACTGTTGCCATAGTCTATTATTTCAAAGCATAAGATAAAAACCACGGTGATTTTAAGTCTTTGCCTCAAGCAGTGTCCTGCTGCTGTGTAGGAATGCGAAACCACTTAGCACGTTGTCTTTAAACCGTCTCTCGTACTTAAAGCGAGATGGTTAGCTCTTTCTTTCCCTGTCAAAAGAGTTCGCAAAGGCATCCAGTTTTCCACCCAAAAGTTACTTGGGGCTCAGAGGAGATAGTTATACGTGATACTTTTCCTTCTCAAGCACATATTTTAAAGAAATTGGGGATCCCACTGCAGCCAAAGTGTTTTGGTACTGTGTGCTGTGGCACATTTTGTATCACTTTAAAAATACTTTCCCACATGAATACATACTCTTCTTCCTGTGAATACTTGGTTACCAAGCTATCTTTTGTTGGGTGTTTGTACATTTTTGTTTGGATCCACAAGATGTGGACATGGTTTATGTAAACACAATTTATTTTTCCATGTAATGAAAGTGCATTCCAAACAAAACAGACATTGATGACTGTATGCTTTGAAGTTCTTGATGTAATAAAATACTGACTTTTGAGTGATTCAAATGCTGTTTTGAGTTTAATTTGCATTAAATTATCGGCTTAGCGGCTTTGGTGTGTTGATCATCATTTCTTGTCTGCTTAACATAACTCTAAATAAATGGTGATTACTGGAACCTCTTTTTTTACTTTATGTCCTGCAGCAAAGGATGATGGGAGCGTTGCAGTCGCCCTAGGTTACACGTCGCACCTGGTCCTGATGATCTCGTACTTCCTGCAGGTCCCTCTTAGGTATCCTGTTATCCACAAGGGTTCACGCTCCTCCATCAAGGACACCATCACTGACAGACTCACTGAGAAGGAGAGAGAGTAAGTAGGCTCAGTATGAGAAACGCCCCAAATTAGGGAACATCTAATCCTAAAATCTTCACGTGCATCACAGATGTTTGGCAGAGTTTGCATTCTTTGCTGTGCAAATAGATGGTTCTCACTTCAAGATTGCTCTTTACTTTCCTGAAGTTAATTAATTCATTTTGTGATGGTGTATGATCGTGCCTTCTCAAAACAATCTTGTTTATATGAATAATATTATAATATACTCTCTTGTGGCTGATATTGATGAGAGGCTATAGCTCTGACTTTATGATTAGTTCCGCTTTGCCAAAATATTTGGATCACGTGTACTGACGTCAACATGACGCTTTGTTTTCACGGCTGTGCAAAGACTGGCGCATGGAAGTGTTGCCACAATGAAACAAGCTTTTCTGTTCATTTGGTGTTGGGGGCGGGGGGGGGGGTATTATTCACTACTTAAATCTGATCCCTTTCTCTTCAGTTATCTTCTTCTGACTCACACACACACACCTACACCTCTGGTCTCTCGCACCTTGTAGCGTAATACAAGATATCATCTCCCTCTGTGTTTCAAAATGCTAAAATGTTTTGCAAATTGTATTTAAAATAAGCGCAATCTGTAGGCCTATACTTAAATATATTATACGTAAATATTACAGCATAAAGCTATTTTATAGTTTTCCAACTGCGTGTGTCACGTGACTATTTTGATCCAGTCATGATTAAATGATCATGCCTGCAAGTTAGATTAGTTTTTAACCGAAGATGGAAAATAATATTAATAATTATGATGATGATAATAATAATGCCTCTCACACCACAAAAAAGCAGGGGGAAAAATGCGGGATGAACTGGAGCGTGGATTTGGTGAATTGTTACACCTCTAATATAGCTGTAACAAAATAAAATTGAACACGCAGTCCTCACAAATTCAAAAACTGCATGCTGAACCCTGACAAATCAATAGACAGTGTAAAAAAGTGACTGAACATGTTATTTAACAAAAACATAAAATGTAATGGTAAGTTACTTTTTAAGTAAAAAGCAAAATAAAGCAACAACTTTTTACATTTACTTTTATTTTAAACATGTATGTACTACACAGTTAGTTAGTGCATTTACAGTATGGTTCTTGTGTGAGTCTTATTTTTAAAATAAACCATAAGAAAATATGAATTAGAGACATGATCTCTTGTGGAGTTTGCATGTTCTCCCCGTGTCTCCCATCCCACCGTCCAAAGATATGCGGCCTAGGTTGATTGGTGATCCTAAATTGTCCTTCGGTGTGAGTGGTTGTTTGTCTGTGTGTGGCCCTGCGATGGACTGGCGACCTGTCCAGGGTGTACCCTGCCTTTCGCCCGATGTCAGCTGGGATTGGCTCCAGCCCCCCGCGACTCTGTTAGTAAGATAAGCGTTTGACGATGGATGGATGGATGGATGGATGGAGGGAGGGAGGGTGGATGGATGGACTCTCCTGTGTGAATATGATTTTATTTGTTCCACATTTTAACCACACGGTTATCACACAAGGTTATCATCATCTGTTGAAATGTTGGATCAATAAAGACATACTTGCATCGGTAAGATTGTGCAACCTATTTCCTGTTTTCAACTTTTCCCTTGTTGCCAATATCATTATGTAACGAGTGTGGATAATCTTATTCCATGTCTGATCCGTAGCATCTCAACAAAATATCATCCCTGCCTGCTTTCAAATATTTGCTTGCAGATTGAGGAGCACTTTGTGTTGTTTGCTCAGTAGTTTTGTTTTTAAAGGATTTCCTTAGTTAAATACATAGGGTAATAAATTACCCTTTTTGATTTTGTAGAAAATGTGTCTGACTCTGCTTTGTGTTTCTCATCCATGCTGTTTGTCTGTCTTTTTGGCGGTTTTTGGGTGTGTGCAAGCCAGACTGAATGCATTTCACGGACTGTGTTCAGTTTTGTAACCCCACTGAACCCCCCCATTATTGAAAATTTGGAACATTTGCATAGCTGTATCTGTTGAAAGGACAGCATTGTACTCGCAGAAAAGTTTTGTCAGTAACATAGAGAGTAGCTACTGCCTGTAAAGTCTTGGAGCATTAATCAGACATTTCAGCTGGTGCTCATTTCCAACTGCAATAGCCATGATTCAAAAAGCATTTAACATTTGTTTAATTTTTAACACTGTTAACAAGAAAGTCCATATGGTAAAACCTAGAATACTTGCTGAACGTTTATTTTTATATCATTATCACCGCTTAATGATCAAACTGTTCTTTTATTTCCACCAAGTTTATTACACTTTTGGTAATCTATCAAACCATACAAGCCACATCAAATAACTCAGTGCTGCCAGATTTCAAAGACCCGGTATATTGTAGTCAATAAATTGCCAACCTTGTTATACTGTTATTCTCTTTGAGGCCTTATATTTCAGATTTCAACAGATCATAAATTCAGATATTTCATACAGTGATAGCATGAATATATGGAATTGTAACTTAGCCCTGGAGAGGCCGGCACTGCTTAACTGAACTAAGCATTTTAATTCAAATCATCTGCTTGAAATTAAATTTTTAGGCATGGTGTAAATGGCCAAACTAGTCCTAAAATGCACCTTAGGATTTCCAAGACTTCTTGAAAAGCTGTCCAAAAATAAATGTGTGGCAGGTTTATAAATGGCACGTTTCAGTAGAGTAGGAATGACTCTTCAGTTTGTCACTCATCTCTGATAGTGAAGATTTCTCTGTGTGAGATCGCTAACGTTTGTTAGTAGAGGCTAACAGAGAAGTGTCATTTTTCAGCTACTTGTCTTGGTCAGAGTGTCAGCTGTCTTACCTAAACTAAATTACAGTGACGGCAGTAACAATCGTTAGCTTCCTTTGCGGTGCAGAATATACAAGGGATTATATTTGTCTCAAACGGCTGCATCTTACGACAGTATTGTGTCTTCCATTAGCTGGTGGTAGCCGCATTATTCTGTCTATAAGCGGAAACTGATTAATTCTAAGAGGATTTAAAATGGATTGAATAAAATTTCATGGGCCTTTAATGTGAATTGAGTTCATTTTAGTCCTACTATAAATTATTTGGAAACTGCTTTGTCACCCAAAACAATGCTCATTCACTTTTACCTGGCTTTCTCTTATTAAAATAATTGGGGCAGTGCACTGTTCTTCCTTTTTTTTTAATTTTTAATTTCAAATGTTGAAGGGGAAACAATTCTGAGGTCTGTAAAAGTCACTGAACCCCCTCACCTTGAAATGTTAGGTCCAACCTCTAGAGATGAGCTTAATATTTGGAAATTTGACACATATACTGTTGATTATGGATACAACTACTGTAAATTTCAAATGCGACAAACCTACATAAAATCTGAGAAATGCTGGAATTTTACAATTTTAGTGCATTGTCTGGTGGTACGTTCTGATTAGAAAGCTCTACAGTGTTTTTAAGCACTACAGAATGTTAAATGTATTTATCAATGCATCTTTTACATCTGTCCCAATTTCCACTACAGGCCTGCATAGCATAGACAAGAAGTGCTGTCTTAAGCTGTTTTGTTTTGGCCCTTTTTCAAGGTGTTCAGAGAATCCAAAAAGAAGCTCTGCTGCGACTGTAAATCACAGCGCCCATTAAGTGCCAGTGTCTTTATCGCACCCTTGGGCTGTAAACGCTTTGCTTCTTATCTCCACATCATTATATCGTTTTTGTTGAGCAGGAACTATTCGTGATTGAATATACTGTGTTGACATAGAGATAAGCAAACGATAACATGAGAATCTAACCTCACCTGGGGCTTTGTGAGGGCCGTCAGGAATTGTACAGACACTGTAATTACAGCGAGGCCAGTGTAATGAAATTATTATTTGTATATGTTATGGTCTTGTAACTATGCATCAAGTCAGAATAAAAAAATCCCTGCTGCGTTATGATAATTGCAAGCTTGGGGGACACATGTTCAGGTATGCACCTGACATGCATAAATTGACATTCCACACATTCAAGACCCCCTTCAGTAAGTGTGCTGAGTGCAGTGATGAGGAAGATTTTACTGTAATCAGCAGTGTTACTGATAGACACGGATGTGGGTGAATTTGATTGCCCCCTTAGTGTAAGAGTGAATCGTCTGTTTAGGTTCAAAGCCACTGGAAGAGGAGAATAAAGATGAAAGTCCTGAGTCATGCTTAAACCTGTCAGCTCTTTAGATTATGTGCACAGTTCTGCTTTTGCTGTGCAAGGCCTTGTTGATATCAGCAGAATATTTCAGTCCTTTTTTGTTGTTGTTTTATTTAAGGATACTAATGTAAAGTATTATTAACACCTTTTCTATGGAGTGGGAATCTGAACAAATATGGGCTTTTGGGGCCTTTGTATTTTAAGTGCTGAGCAGTAAGGGAGCGAGTTGGGGGTCGTTTGAAACCTGCAGTAGGCTCATTATAGTAAATTATTTAAATTGGTAGGAGAAGAGATGCAGGCCACATGTCAGTGTTAAATAAGGTCATTATAACTGCACTGCAGACCAGAAAGCCTCACAAATTTTTTGTTTCTCTTATCACCTTTTAATGTTGTTATGTTTAGCTGCTCATGGAATTGCTAACTAGTGTTGTCGAGAAGCCCTGTAAGGGTCAGCAACCCCCGTGTTCACCAGTATCTCTTTGTGCTCTACTCTCAGTCTAAAACGAGTGGCTGCTTATGTTTTGTTGAGGCACATAGGAATGATGTGTAAATAAGCACTGACACTTTCACATCCACATGTGTCATGCGTAAGAAGACAAACAGTTGGGGAAAAAGTGTGGGAGAAAACACATTATCAGACCAACACTGTGACTGAGTGGCTGTCTCTCTCTGTGGGTGATTATGTCATGACAACAGCTGGAGAAGCTCACTGGGAGTTGCTTTACATGTTTCCAGTCCTACCATGCAGGATATTTACACCAGCATCCAGCAACAAAAAATAAACTTGTAGGCTGTTGCTGTTGAACAGACATGACAATCCAGCATCGCCCTTAGGTGTCCCAGAGTGGGGC